CAAGTATCGATCTACAGGAACAATTATGAAATTAACTAATTTAATTGTTAAATTCCTAATTCAATTTCGATCGAAAAGATGGCTGATTCATAAACTAATTTAATAACAAATAAAATAAACTAAAAGATTAAACTAGCAATTATAAATAAAGATGAATTTATTGATTTGAGAAAAAATCTAGGACAATGAGTTCACCACTAGTTATGTAAATAAGGTTTCAATTTGAAATCAATTATGCTACGGTTTGAACTAAATAATATTTTGCAACTACAAGTTCGAAGCATTTATCAAGAGAATCATTACATTCAATGTATAGGCACGAACCATCTTAAGTAGGACGAATCGTTCGCTCTAAACTAAGGTAGCAAAACAAATCGTCCCTCGTAGTATGGCTCGTTTCATACCTTGAATATGAAAGAAAAAAAAACTATTGTATGGAAAGCATTTAACAATCACAGAAAGTCGAATACTCAAAGAGATAATGAAAAATATGTATTTGAAACTTCTAAAGCACCATATAATTGTTCAAACCTTTACGTAATAAAAAGGCAAAAAGAAAATCTCATTACATAACTAGGGTTTCATTAAAATCCTAAAAAAGAATAACTTAGCCACTCATGGAAGAGTGGGAAGAGGTGGAAGAGGAAGAAGTCCCCATGGAAGTTGTCCCTCAAGCTTGAGGAAAAATCTCCTTTTCAAACCCTAACCTCTCTTTTTCTTAGAATATTTTTCGAACCCTCTTTCAGTCCCCTCTTTTTCTTTTTATTCCCAGCAAAGAGCATTAAAATTTCACGTACACATCCCTAAGTGGATTGCTCGAGCACCCATGTGGGCCGCTCGAGCAGTGGTGGGCCGCATGTGTGGTGAGGTGGCTGGCTTGGCTTTTTCGCTTCTCACACGGAAAATCTGCTTTCGCCCCATTTTTTGATTGAATTTACATATTTTCTGCCAAATCTGTACAAGTGCACAAAACACATCATCTCCACCAATTAAACAAAATTGAAAGACTATAAATGTAACTTAAGCGACCTCAATGTGATACCTTTCGGCCCACATCAGTCATGTGTTGAGTAATTGTGCTGCATGAGCATAGCCCATGCATGATTCAGCTCTGCTACATTCTCAAAATATTGTGGTATGAATCCCAAATAATTTATTAAATTTTTTTTTATCAAGTCTCTTATATGGGTATAAGACCCACATGGATATGAATTTATATGAATTCCACACCTATATGAGAGATTTAATAAAAAAATTAATAAATTATTTAAAATCCATAACATTTTTCTTCTCAAAAACGAATCAACAAATCATCTACAAAAAAATTTGGAAAAGTCTTCTAACCCATACATAGGGTTTGGGATATGAGTTGTCTTTTTAATTTTTTTAGTTATTTTAGTTTGGAGTTAAAAAGTTTCGTTGGAATAATTTTTTTTAATTTTTGTGAGGAAAAAAATAAAATGATTATGGTTTGGATGTGATATTTTATCTTATTGACTTTTTAGTCTATTTTATCTTTTTGTGACTATTTTAACCCCGTAACCTTATGCCAAACGAGTGCATATTCTCCCAATTTTTTCTAGATGGTTGGTTGTGTGGTAAAATTAAGGTCTCGTCTAGCAACATCACTTTTTTAGCCTAAAAGTAAAAAAAAATAAATAAAAAAAATAAATAAATCAACAACCTATACCAAAAAGTCAAAGATTTCATTTTCTCTCTATTTTTTGCACATCGTTTCGTAAAAAATTTAAAATTTATCCCAAGTATACTGGTTTTTTTACATCATATTTTAGTTAAAAAGTTACTAAAAAACATATTCCCAAACGAGACCTAAATTTATATAATATGAGATTTATGTATACAATAAATCTAAATTATAAGATGATAGTTCTAAATAATTTTTGAATAGTTAAATCGAGTGATTATTGAGCACTTTTGAAACACGATCACGTGGTGTTACATGATATTATATTTATGATTGGTAGAGAAAGTGTGAAGTATTATGATTTTGTTGCCGTTTGGCAAAAAAAATTTTAGTTGGCTTTTTAGAATTAATACCTTTTTTTTTAATTTGGGACTAAAAAATTCATTTGCCATTTTTTTATATTTTTTTGACTCACTAAAAATGAAACAATTATGGTTTAAATGTGACATTTTGTCTTATTAACTTATTTAGGTTATTTTATCTTTTGAGTTTTTTTAGCCCTAATTGTGATAGCCAAACGAAGCTTTATATTGGATGATTGAAGAACATGAGAGTATATGTTAAATAATGATCGGTAAAGGAGTATGGACAAATGGTATTTCGAGAGTACTTAATAATTTTCAAGTTAGGTCGGGATAGGGGTGAGTATCAGCCCGCTGGCCCACCCAACCCAACCCAACCTTATTTTTTTTGGGCTTGAGAATATAATTTTAACCCATAAGATTGGACTGTGTTAATATTTTTACCTAATTAATAAGTGAACTGAGTTTGGAAATTGTACTTCTGACTCGGCTAAGCTAGGCACACTACATATTTAATTTAATAAATTCATTTATATAATATATAAAAATATATATACCCTTTTAATTATATAAGTTTTTAATTTATTTTTTATTTGATGTTAATAATTTATTTGTTGATAATGTAGAAAACTTAGTATTATAGCTGTAAATGAACTGAACCGAGTTGAGCTTTGTTGAGCTCGAGTTTGGTTCGTTTACTTATTGAGCTCGTTTATTGAGCTCGAGTTCGGTTTGTTAGCATTAATAGAACTCGAGTTGAACTTGACGAGCAGAGCTTATGCAAGTTCGAACTCGGGTCGTTTACTAAACGAACTGAGTCGAGCTAAGTCCTTAACGAGTCGAGCCGAGCTTGTTCATAAACAGTTCGGTTCATTTGCAGCCCTGCTTAAGTATTATTGGAAAAAATAGTTAATGGTGATTTTAACTTTTCAAAAGATGATAATAAAACAACAAACGCGATTGAGACTCCAGTTTTCTCCACCCCCCACACATGGGGGTTGGTTATTGGAAGCAGAAAAAAATAAAAATATTCCTGGCCAATCAAACCTCACTGGGGGTCTTGGGGGTCACCCACAGTGGGGGTCTGAAACATCAGTCATAAAACAATGGAAGAAGTTTAAATTTTAAACTATGGATGTTTTTTTTTTTTAGTTTGATTTACTACTAATGGTTTAGTTTTAAAAACTTTGAGCTTATAGAATTACAGATTTGTTTGGTTTAAATTTTTTTATAATGTTTTAATTAATATGGTATTAAATATTTAACAATTAGTTGCTCGATAAGCCTTTGTTTATTTATGAAAAAACAATAGGTACTATAATGTGTAGTTTTGTTTTGTTTTGTTTTGTTTTTAAAGCTTATGTATATAGCCCGATAGACGAGCTTGGGAATTATAATTTATATCAGGGCTGGGCTTAGGATAATTATATAGGCCAGATGTTCGGGTCGGACGGGCTTGTGTAGACACAAAATCTCTTATTAGGTAACGTCGGCTCGGCCTAGTGAATGACCACCCTCAAGTTTGGGTGAGTAGTATTACTAAAAAAATATACATCTTGTTTGGTTCTAATTTTTAAAAAATTGAGTTTTTTGTTTTTTATTTTTCGTATTTTTTTTGTTTTTAGTGAATGTTTAAAAATATTTTTAGTAATTTTTTTACTTTTTAGATACATGTAACCTAGATGTACCTAAAAAGTAAACATTTGTAAAAAAAAATATTTTAGAAAATCAATAAATAGACAAAAATATCAAAATATACTGAATTTTCATTTTTTTTTAAAAATCTTTGGTATTTAGTGAAATTTTTTTTAAAAAATTCACAAATATTATATTTTTTAATTATATTTATATTAAGTGTATCTAAAAAGTAAAAAATTCGCTTAAAGTATTTAAAAAATTTACTAAAAAAAAATCACGAAAAATAAAAAATACTCAAATTTCAGAAAATTGAATTTAGGAAATTGAAACTAAACAATGTGATATATATTTAGACGAATACTCTGTAAAGTATTGAGAATTAACACTTTATTTTTTTTAAATTATAAAAATATACAAATTGACCATTTAAACTATTGAGTAATATCATTTTAGTTCATAAATTATTGGTTTGTTTCACTGTGACCCTTTCCGTTAAGGAGTTTAAGTTATATATTTTTATAATTTAAGGAGTAAAGTGATATTTTTCAATTTGTAGCTTAAAATAGTCAAAATTATACTTTTCAATAGAGATGGGCTTCTTTCTAATCCACTTTGTGGACTAGACCATATTATTGGGTCTGTAGGGTTTAACTCGGGTCCTATTTCGATAATTTGAACTATTCAATATGTATAACTCGTTGAGTGCTTCATCCCTGTAAAACAAAAATCACATTGATTAGATATCGATAATTTATTGATCAAAAAATATTTTTGTCATCAAAAGGTTATCGATATCCATTCAACTTAATTTTTTGTAGAGATAAAATACTTGACAAATTTTTCATATTAAACCATTTAGATCATTAGAACGGGACACATAATAAACCTCGTGAATCTAACGGTATGATCCAATCCACTTTGGAGTTTTTTTTGAAAAATTAGTAAAAAGTTAATTTCTAACTTTTTATTCATTTTAGGTCATATCACCTCTCATATAATTTTTTTACAAAAAAATAAAATAAATTAAAAAATTTAAAAAATTAATTTTTTATTAATTTTCCAAAACACCCTTTTTGGGTCGGGGAGAAACCCATATTTTTTCAATAATTTATAGGATCTTTGTATAAATAACCAAAAAAAAAAAAAAACAGCAAACGCACAAATATAACACAAGCTTTGGGTACTGCTCAGTCCTCCCCTCTCTCCCTCCTTCCACGATTTCCTAGAGAGAGAAAGAGAAACACGAGGAAAGAGAGATGCCTCAAGCTGTGCCTTCAGGTTTCTCTTTCTTCTCCATCTTCTCTGTCCTGTAATGAATACAGACCCAATCCTCTTCTTCCCAGAAGAAGATGGCTCAACCCCAACCCCAACCCCAACAACAGCAACAAAATCTTCCATTTGTTTTAGATGCTCTGTATTGCCAAGAACAACATTTGGAGGGAGGAGAGACAGAGGACTACTTTGATTCAGAAGAGGAAGATTGTCATTACAGTGATAATATTGTTAGCCCTAAGCCTCCACAGCTACTGGAACAAGACCTGTTCTGGGAAGACGAAGAGTTGACCTCTCTGCTGTCAAAAGAACAAGAAAACCCCTTATTCCATAGTCTCGAAACAGACCCATCTTTGGGTGGGGCTCGGAGAGCCGCCGTGGAGTGGTTGCTGAAGGTCAACGCCCACTACTCATTCTCTGCTCTCACGGCGGTCCTCGCCGTGAACTACCTCGATAGGTTCCTCTTCAGCTTCCATTTCCAGAGAGAGAAACCATGGATGACCCAACTTGCTGCTGTGGCTTGTCTCTCTCTTGCTGCCAAAGTTGAGGAGACTGAAGTCCCACTCCTGTTAGACCTCCAGGTATGTCTCACCGAAACATAGATCTTGTCATTTATCATTAGACCCAAGTTTTGTTTTATCAATTCAATGATGGGTTTTTGTTTTTGTGTTTTTGATTTGTGAAGGTGGAAGATAGTAGGTATGTTTTTGAGGCTAAAACAATTCAGAGAATGGAGATGCTGGTACTATCAACTCTTCAATGGAAGATGAATCCTGTGACTCCACTCTCATTTCTTGATCACATTACAAGGAGGTTAGGTTTGAAGAACAGACTTTGTTGTGAATTTCTCAAGAGATGCGAGTCAATCCTCCTCTGTATCATTTCTGGTACCCATTAAATCATCAACACAACATAAATCAATTCCCCTGTTTTTGGTTCAGTTAAAGATTCTAATTATATAACTGAACATTACAGATTCTAGGTTCATGCTTTATCTTCCCTCCGTATTATCCACTGCCACAATGCTGCTCGTTTTTAGTAGTCTAGAGCCCTGTCTCGCAGTAGAATACCAAAACCAACTCTTGGGTATTCTTCAAATCGACAAGGTTTGTACCTTGTTGTCAATGCATTGATCTATTCCAATTCTTTCCATCATTGTGTTCTTGAATCTTGATTGTTTATGTATATACCCATATGTTGAAAACAGGACAAAGTGGAGGATTGCTATAAGTTAATGCTAGAATCAACATCAGGAATTCACCAATCCAACAAACGAAAGTTCCGATCAATGCCCGGCAGCCCAAATTGTGTCACAGATGTTTGTTTCAGCTCCGACAGCTCGAACGACTCGTGGGCCGTGACATCCTCGGCATCTGCTTCGGCGTCGGTCTGTTCCTCGCCGGAGCCATTGTCAAAGAAGAGCAGAGCTCAGGACCATAATGCAACTGCAGATATTCTGAGCTTCCATTGCTAGACTATCTCAATTGCGTCATGACCAGTTTTTATTTTTATATTTATGTTAAATAATATGATATGTTCTTTTTTTTTATATGTGCATGTTAAATTGCCTACCATCTCTGCAAATTTCAAATCCAAGAACCAAATCAGAGAGAGAGAGAGAGAGAGAGAGAGATCGTAGAGATGGGGTATCATATGGAGATTGGAGGTAGAGATGGTTGGCATTTTATCCGGAGAAAGTAAAGAACATTAGAGCATATAGTAGCAATGAAGACTATTTCCATTATTATATAAATATTTCTATTCCTCTGTAAAGCCAGCCTTAATTATTATATGAACATAAGTTTTATTTATTATGTCAATAAATTGTCAAGTTCAACATGCCTTGTTGTTATGTTATATTAGATCACTATGTTCATATCGTCAGGTTTTTTGTCATTTTTTTATTGTTATTTTAAATTAGGATTTTATCATTCATCTGTTAGTATTTTAGGAGAACACCATCTTTGCTGTTATTTTAAACAAGAAGCCTGTCATGAATATGTACTAGACAGCTACGTGAACAGTGATAAAATATGAGAATAGACCATATTGAGGGGTTTTGGCAACCTAGTAAAATAAAAAGCTGAGTTTTTAACTTCTTTTTTTTTTTTATTTTATATCACATTATTTTTTATTCATAAAAAGTTAAAATACGAGTTTTTAACTTTTTTATTTATTTTGTATCACATCATTTTTTATAATTTTTTATTCATAAAAAGATAAAATAGATTAAAAAAATTAAAAAATTAATTTTTTATTAATTTTTTAAAACACCACAATCATAAAGTTTTTGAGATTTGTAATTGGGTAAATTGCACTTTCTTCTCTTATATTTGGCCACTTTCTTTGGTTTTTAAAATTTATTTTTTTTCTACTTTAATTCTCTATATTTTAATTTATTTATTTTTTTACTCTTTTAAGTTGATTTATGTTCAAAATTAGATAAAATAAAATAACACATTAACAGTCAAGTGATATAAAAATATTTTATTATAATAACTTACACTTCTGATATAAATTAAAATTTTAATATAATAATATATTTTTTTTATGAAATGTGATATTTTTTACGATAAAAAAATTTAAAAAAAAATTGAAAGATAAAAAAATTAAGGTGATAAAAAAATAAATTTTAAGAGTTAAAAGTGAAAAAATTGACCACAGGACAAAGTGTTATTTACCCTTTGAAATTCAATGGGGAAGTGTACATAAAATAATTATAAAGCCAGGGAGGTATGTGTACTCGCGTATGGTAAAAGGAAGTTGTGACCTTGTTACAAATTCACATGCACTTTCGGTGGGATTGTAATTTTTCCTAAAGTCTTATTATGAAAAATAATTAAGATTCACATAATAAATCTCACACTTATATTCATAACAATGTGATATTATGTCTATTAATTTTTAATTTATTATATATCTAATAAAATAGTATTTCATCCTTTTGTCATATCATTGTTGATGGATTTATAAATTAAAAGTGTTGGACTGTAGCGTTTACTCATATATTGTAAATGGATTTGAAAATTATAATGTAAATTTTAAAGGTCTAACAAAAAAAGGAGTGATTTCCGGGTTAGATCCTAATGAGCTGAGATCCCAAAGGTTATTTTTAGGTAGTGTTGCATAGCAGGGCCACTCAATCATGTACTGATAAGTCACTGATTCGCATACAGACGGAGATTCGAACGCACATTCCTAACACTGGGTACGGCTCACCCAAACTTAGAAGGTTCATCATACCAATCATATATGTTGTCGTTCAGGTAATTGGTTTTGGGGAGAATGGAACCTAGGATCTCAAGACTTATACCTCAAGCCCTTATCAAGTTGTCACACCCCTGAATTAATTATAACGTAAATTTTAATAGCAAAAATAATGAAAAATTATTAAATAGTCACAAATATTATATACGTAAATGAAAAATTACAATATGTACTAAAGTATTCATTGCTTTTTAATTATAAGTCAAGATCTCTCATTCTTTATTATACCCTTGTTCTAAGCGTATTTTTTTCCATTAAATTTGAGTAAAAATTTCATTTGATATGAAGTGTTTAAATGGAGGATTTTGAGCTTTTATCAAAACATCGGTTGGCCAGGCGAATGTCCGACTGGTGAACCTGTCAGTATATTTTTTCCATAAATTTTTGCCTAGAGGTGATCATCCGGTGGTGAAAATCTAACGGCTATGAACAGTGATTTGATGAAAGCTCCCAGGCGTCCTCAATTTGGTGAAAGATTTTTGATATTCTCGATTTGATACTAATTTGATGAAACTATTGCAGTAGGAAAAATGTTATTTTTTTTGTCAAATTTAAATTTGATGAAAGAATTAATGAACGATTGGAGATAATCTTAGAGCATTACATGAAAAATCATAGGGAATTACATTCTAGTGGGATATTTTTTATTACTTATTTATTTTACGTAAATATGGAAGGGTGCAAGTCACACTTACATCCCCATAGATTTTCATTTACACTCCATCACATAATCACTTGCACCTCATATATTTTTATAATTTTTTTATTTGTCTCACTATCCTGTAATTCTCTCAAAATTATATGATATTCTCAAACTACTTAGCCTCCGTTTGGAAAGTGGGTTGGCTTTTTGGCTTTTTGGCTTTTTTGGCTATTTTAGCCTGGGCTTAAAAGCTTGGTTTGGGAAGGGCTTTTTGGCTTTTTGGCTTTTTTGAGTTTTTTTGTGAGAGAAGAATGTAATGATTATGGGTTGGATGTGATGTTTTGTTTGTTATGGCTAAAATAGCCTATTTTATCTTTTATGGCTAAAATAGCTAAAAAAACCCAACTTGCAACTTGCCAAACAGAGGCTTAGTAGTTATTCAAAAATTTAAAAGGAAAGTCAAATGAGAAAGAGTAATATTATAATGATCATGTTTATATATTATATTAGCTTTTCAATGCTTTTCACTATTTGGCCATGTTTGTTTGGACGGACTGGATTAGTATTCCCATGACTAATAATCCTGGGATTACGAATTCGTTGGATTATGTATCCAACGAATTCGTTGGATTAACTAAAAGTCAAGTTTAAAATAATTAGTCCGTACTTCAATTGTTTAACCAAACATCGGATTAATAATTTTATTGGACTATTAGTCCAATCCCAAGCTCATGTCCACCCAAACAAACATGGCCTTTATGTCAGTTGCTAATGCAGTGGCACACATTATAGGCTCGGGATGTTTTACTGGATATAAAATGGAGGGTAAAATATGATGTGAAATTTAATTAGAATATATAATAAATAGATATAAGTATTGAATAATATATCTCTCAATTCATTTTTGTTGACTTGATATATAAGATTGGATATATATTATCCATATTTATTTTACAAAATATATTATGAGATATAAACAAATAATTTTCAAGATTGTCCTCATAATATTATATTATATTATATTAATTTATATTAAATAATATTATATTATATTAAATTCAAAATTTATATTTATTAAATTCAAAATTTGTATTAAATTATATTATATTAAATTAAATTCAATAATTATATTATATTAAATTCAAAAAATATATTAAATTATATTATGTTAGATAGACAAAAGGGTAAATTAGACTTTTTAAATCATATTCCAACCAAGGGGATATGATATAATGGGGGGTGGTGGTATTGTATATCCCTATCATCTTTGAAAAAAAATTATAAATATGAGATATGTGGACCCCACATGATATAATATCAAATCCCATTCTTTATATCCTGGAATCAAACAGGGCCATAAGGTGTGTTAGTAGATCGGATTAAGTCAGGTAACATTCCATTTGCTATTCGTTTGAGGGTTGGTTTGGGAAGTGGGTTGGTTTTTTTGATTTTTTGATTTTTTTGGCTATATTAGCCTGGGCTAAAAAGTTTGATTTAGGAATGATTTTTTGACTTTTTTTGTGAGAGAAGAGTGTAATAATTATGGGTTAGATGTGATATTTTATTTTTTGTGGCTAAAATAGTTTATTTTGTCTTTTGTGACTAAGCCTCCGTTTGGGAAGTAGGTTGGCTTTTTGACTTTTTTGGCTATTTTAGCCTGGGCTAAAAAGTTTGGTTTGGGAAGAGCTTTTTGACTTTTTGGCTTTTTTGACTTTCTTTGTGAGAGAAAAATGTAATGATTATAGGTTGGATGTAATATTTTATTTTTTGTGGTTAAAATAACCTATTTTGTCTTTTGTGGCTAAAATAGCCAAAAAAATTCTGTTTAACTCTTGCCAAACGGAGCTTTAAATGGCCAAAAAAATCTAATTTAGCTCTTCTCAAACGGTGCCTGAAATTGGACGAATTAAGAAAAATATTCGCATCTATCCACTAAGATCATTGAAACTATAACATATTGATTCAGGTCATTTGATTGGGTTGTGTGTTGGTTTTTTTGTTATTTTAGTCTGTGATTAAAAAGTCTTATTTGTGATGATTTTTTGACTTTTTTAATTTTTATGAAAAAAAATAAAAATATAATGATTATAATGTAATGTTTTGTTTTATTAGACTAAAAAAATTATTTTATTTTTTTATGACTATTTCAACCAAAAAAAACCAAGAGCTTTTTCTTCCTAAACAAACTATCAATGGATGTTTGTCCAATCTTAACACATTATGGCTCAGTTTGGCGAGAGCTAAACGGAGCTTTTTTGGCTATTTAAGTCATAAAAGATAAAATAGACTATTTTAATCACAAAAAATAAAATATCATAATATTTTTCTCTAAAAAAAAAGTAAAAAAAGCTAAAAAGTCAAAAAGTCCTTCCCAAACTAAACTTTTTAGTCCAGGCTAAAATAGCTAAAATAGCCAAAAAAATTAAAAAGCCAACCCACTTCCCAAACGGAGTCTATATAATAAATGAATTGTGACACATAAATGTGATAATTGTAGTATTATTTAGGGAGAAAATGGACACTTTGGTTGCATGCGAGAGGAGAGGAACATTGTGTCGGCCACTGGCAATTTTTCTGGTTTAGATTTGCGAGTAATATTTTGTGGGAGTTTGACCTCGTTCCAAGAGCTGTTCTCTGATAAGACTTGTTTGTGTGTTGTATTTTTTGAATGAATTGCTAATGAGGTTCATAGTCTAAAGTCTAAACACCCCCTATTTCGATTATTGCAACAGTTTTCACAGATTCCACAAGGAAATACAGGGCTCAATGTAAATCTTTTTAGTTTCTGCCAAATTGTGTGAGCTGTCTTTCGCAGCTTACTATTATGCTTTTCAACATCTCAAAAAACAATATAGTAATATTTTTCAGCGTTGGGATAGGTAATGTACAAATTTAGGTCAAGTTTGGCATCTTTCAAAAAATTTAAAAA